TCCACGCACCGTCAGCCAGCCGCGACGTGTAGCCACCTGCTCTGCCATCATCGTGTGTCCTGGAAGTAGTATTATGCATCACGGACCAGCGCTAAATGTAGGCTCATCCATAGAAAATGCTGAGGGAGAATCTTTTTGTTATCGTCTTATAAAAAATATGTAGTTTTTGTATAATGACGATGACAAATAAATGTTTTCTATTCATACTGTTTCAGGTAGCTGTGAATTAAACTGTCCGTTGCACATAGCTCGTAGACCTCCCAATCGATATGGACGTAAGAGTCTGGTCTAACAGCCATACGCAAAATTGCAGAGTAGCACTGATTGCTATCAGGTGGACTTACGATCTCGTAAATATTACGGAGGCAATCGATCTGGGTTGGGCGACGCCTATGTCCAGAAGCGGCTGTGACGATTAAAGAAGGAAATCGTGTCTGCCTGTAGAATTAGTCCGGATTGTCTAGTTTTCTACCTTGAGACAATGCCCTTGCGACATAATCAGCCAGCACGAGCTGCGAAGTGCTTGTCGGGGAGACGGGGGTCGACACCAGGCTGGGCCATGCCACTCGAGAGTTCTCTCTCACGAAGCGCATCACTCGCGGGACGTCTGATGACCGCGCCCGGCGCACGCGCACCTTTGAGTCATTCTCGGTTGTAATCTGCTGAGCAGAAGGAAACACTATTGCCAAGTCGTTCCAATACTCTTAAATTACAAAAAATTAGACACGTCTTCTTGTAACACCATTTCCTATTGTGCTTGAGATTCGCCCTCCTTGTTGTGAGCCTCTACTTTGCACGGTCCTGTTATAGGGGCTTGAGTTGTGCTAGCACGTAGTACCTTCCAGAAAGCTATGTCGAACGTGTTATAAATGTGATTTAAACGCTGGTTCTTGCTCATGGCCTAAATTATATATAACAAAATCTGCACCACTAAACCAATACCAATACCACTGCAGAAAGGAGACTTGAATACCAAATTTTAAAACACTTCTCGTGTTAGTAGAAGGGTGTCCCTACAAATACACATATTCCCAAAACGTTGACTTACAAGCTGTTTGCTCGTTTTGCTCGTGGTGAGGTCTGTGTGGGGGGTGTCCGCGAAGGCTCGCGCACGGCCCCTGATGCTGCTCAGAGCTTTCGACGACCTGCACACCAATCTACTTGGCAAGTTCACTCTGAACAAATTTATCATACTTGGCCGGCCGAAACGCAAGCAGCTTTGATTTGTAGCGGTTTTCTATCTACTTTTTCGGATATACATTTTTTATGTTTAGAAAACTTGTAAATTTGTAGGTTTATTTACATATCAAAAAATCTAATATGGTGGCCCAATTGACGGCTGGTTTGACTTTTACATTTTGTTTCTGACAAGACATGTGAACGTGGCCAATGTTCCAATCCAAATTACAAGGAGTTTTCATTAAGGTTTGATAAGTTCCGCTAAAAGAGGTTAGGTCTGTTTTGTTTTTGGTAGCTTAGGTTGAGGATTGAGCAAGGAGTTGTATAATCTAAGAGATTGAATGTTGAATGTTTTGACAACTTGGAACAACTGTCAGAAACTGGTCAGAACGTGGTCAGAAGTCAGAACTTGGTCAAACACTTGGTCATAGAGTAACTTATTATTTTGCACTTGGTCAAAAACAGAAATGGTCAAGAAAATGTTGTTTTTCCTTTCATAACATAAAAATGGCTTACCAAAATACCCACACAGCACCCAGTACAGTCAGGCCTTAGAATGAATCATAAATCTTCGAAGTAGATCCTCTAGAGAACCATAACAATGTTAAGTTTGACGGGGTTTGCTCCGGTCAAGGTCCTGCCCTTGCTACTATACCAGCCACAAAAACGTCCGTATTCCCAGAAGAAACCCAAGGAACTTGTGTGTAAAGCTAAACCAGCAATCGAGCATCGCCCACCTCTAATCTGCTCTCTAAGCCAACACTATCACAGGCCGGATCCTAAGCCGGTAAGGCCCATATTTGTAGAAATAGATGATTGGGTTTGAGGGGGTGTTGCAATCAGCCGCATATGACGAACTTGCATCTTAAGAATTAAATAGGTATCAGTCAAATTGAGTACCTATCGTTATCATTATCAATAAATACCATTTAATTTTATCCCTAAACTACTTCTGTATTTCATCGTTGTGTGAGGATGCCACTGCGCATTTTGAGATTCTTGATATTATGTTCGTTCAATCTTCGACTCGGTTTCGGCTTTAACTGTCATGCAGATTTTTCCCAGATTAATCCCAAAACGAAAAATAATGGCTTTTAGTTCAGTTTTTTTTTACATTGTTGCAGTGTTTTGATATAAGCAGTGTTCTGATAGAACAAGCTAGACCATGTCACGCGAAAATGATCCAGGCGTTCCTCAACACGCACTATTGGCCTCGAGAGCCCAGCACTGTCGGCGTGTACATGCCACTTAACAGCCCATACTTAGCTGTACTCACTGAGAAATATTCAACCAGTGGTAAGGACTTTATGAACGTATCTTCACTCACTTTACTTGCTAAAGGGTATCCTTTCTGATGCCTATTCTCGAGCTCCTGAGTGTCCAGTCAGGGAGTTATTTTGTACTTCTTATCTTTTTGTAAAAATGCTGCCAGGTGACCGATGGATAGCTTATGAACGATTGCAACGGACAAACGAGAAGAAACCCGTTGGACTTCTTGTGGCCAACCAGACGTTCCCGTGGGAAGCAGACGAGTACGAGAAGTGGGGAAGTACGTGCTGTCGCAAACCTGAACGCAACCACATGTACTTCAGGGCACACTGCCTACGCCACTCTAAAGTGTTCGACCATGCTTCGCACGCTTATGAAGTTAGTCAACTTTCGCTTATTTTTTGATGTTTTCAAGGTACTGACTGAATGACTTACTGGAGTCAAGCAAGTGTTTGATTTGTTCTGGAAATTTTATAGAAGGGTTGGTAATGTAAGAGCACAAGTTTCGTACCATCTGGTTAATATTTTCAACTATTTCTACATAGGACCTCTTCTGCCAAGTCCTCGCGGAAAAGATTTCCAGTGTATTTATTTTGACGTGATCTTTCCAGATCCAGGCATTGGCAACGCTACCGGAAGTCTCAGGTCAGGGCGTGGCACTCCTACTTGTACGGGCGGCCATTTTGCAGGCTATTGACCAGCGCTATCCTTTCGTGATGATCTTCTCCAAAAGCCAATACTCGTAAGATTTTAAATTGATAGATTCCTTCCTACTTGAGGACCCTGACGTACCCCCTCCCTATATATAGATGTAAGTTTGTAAAGCCTACCACTTAGATCATTTAACATGAATGTGGGAAGATGTGCAACCCTGTTAGTGGGGTTGTTGACTGTTGTGGTTGACCATTGGACAAATTTGACCAAGGGTTGACCTCTCATTATAAATTTTGGAAAGCTTGCTTTTTCCACCGCAGCAGGACTTTCAACCTACGACTTTCGGCATTTGCACTGCCGACGCCTCTACCAACTGCGCTCAGTCCTAGCCTGCGAATTATGCAAGTGTACCTTGGCCACTAACGCTAAATTGTGTTAACTTTCAGGCACAAAGTATGTGAGCGCGCGGGCATGAAACGCACCTGGGACATGAACTACACGGAATTCGTCGACCTGACTGAAGCCCCTCTGTTTTTCCCTCGGAAACCTCATACCAAGGTGGCCCTCTACCTCAAAAAGTTCGATTCTCACATCGACCCCGTCCCCGAACGATGGAAGAACCCGGAACTCTTTGCCGTTTACAAAAAAATATGCCTCGACAAGGAAACAGTTACTGGCGACAAAAAGAGATGTGATTTGGAGTACCCTGTGTTTCCAAAACGTAAATAGCTGTTGCCTTGCTGTTGCCATTGTCCTGGTTTGAATGAAATCCAATTTTATGTGAACAGTGACACTACAACTTCTTAATTTATTATGAATACTTAGTTTATGAAAGTTAAAATAAATAATAAATTCTATTGGATGAAATTTTACTACTGACCGATAGCGACTACTCAGAACCGGCTTCTCCCCAAGAAACATGTAGTTTGAAATATGAAAAATTAAATTTGGGTTTCCATACAAAATGGCCAAACAGCTGGTTCAAACTAGTATGAAAGATCCGAAACTATTATTGAAGATGAGGAGGTTGATGGCGACCAAAAAATGCTCAATGATCCAAAGTTTGAAATCCCAAAAATCCCCGAGAAATGTCCGAAATCCCCATTCCCAACCAAAGAGGATTTAATAAAAAAAAAAACATTGAAAAACCTTTAGCTTTAGCCTCATTCAAGGATTTGCAACCTGTGATGGAAGAACACATCAAAAGCTGTGATCAAAAGGGACATTCAATATCTTTGGTACTGTAATCTGTGCACATCAAAACAATAACAGAAACCAAAGAATACTATACTCTCACTGGCGTGGAGACAGAAACCGCAGAAACGCAGAAACCAAATACCGAAACACACAAAGCAAAATGACTAGAATTTTCAATAATGTTGTAACTCTAAAGCAGAGCCACATCATATAATAAAAAAAATGTCTAAGCTAAAACGTGTCCAGGAAATTCTTGCACGCCAAAAATGTTAAATGCAATAAAGTTTAGAATCGGGCAAGTTCGGGGATTAGCACAGCGTTTCTTCAATACAAAGATACTGCGGAAACCAAACCCTGACTTCTTGGATATCAACCCAAGTCGTCCGCGGCCGCCTTGCCCCCGTCCACGCCGAAAACCGGTGAGCTAAATAATAGCATGAGATTATCTTTAGGTGTCCCCTTCAGAAATCAAACCAGGGTCTTGGGATCCTGAGAACTACTGCCGTGTGATCTCGGCACGATACAATAGTACCACGCCAAGTTTCACGAGGTGGGCAGCAGTGCTTTCAGTCCACTGTTGAAAACATTGTCCAAGAATTAGACACTTCTTCTTTAACGTGTCAATATGTTGAGGTAAACATAGATTTAGATTTAGCGTTAGAGGACAAGATATACTTGCTAAATTCGCAGGCTCGATTAGAACCGCGGTAGCCTAGTTGGTTAGGGCGTCGGCAGTAGGTACTGATGAAGAAGGTCGCAGGTTCAAATCCTGCCTGCGGTGGAAAATTTTGCAAGTTTTCCAGAAATTGTTTACCTAACACGAGAAGTGTTTTAAAATTTGGTATTCAATAGATTTAGATATTAATTTGCCTGAATTTGGCGCTCCCCAGCCCGCCTTCCCACAGTAGTGGCAAAACCTCCCCGTGATCAGCGTGTTTTGTACTTATCTACTATTGTTTTAGCATTTTAATGTATGCGATGTGCAAGTGGAAAAAGCACGAGCGGAGTACGAGCCCTTGATCAGATCGTTTCTGTATAATGAGTACTTCCCACGTGAACCGAGTTTACTTGGCTTGGCCATACCGCAGTGTAGCTCAAAACGCAGCTTCTACTTGGAGTATTTAGCGAATCACTACATTCGAGAAAGTAAGTTTTAAAGAAACAAATCCATTATCGCTTATCTTTGTCTCAAACATTATAATAAAATACCTAGTTTAAAAAGGATTCGCCCATCAACCTCAAGGTTTTATATTATCTAGCAGTGCAAGCACTTATAGTTTTTATGGTTCTTTACTTGGACCAGAAAATTGATCACTTTGCTGTTCGTTTTAGTCTACATCAACGACGAGAGAGGAATCTAAAAAAACTTAATTTGCTTGACCAGGTAACGGATTCGTAGCTTTCAAATATGACCATGAGCGGAAGGAGAAAGAAATGGTAGGTCTCCTGTTCGGGAAGAAGAAGTACCCATGGGAAGCCCAGTTCTATGAAAAGTGGGCAGAAAAGAGTAGGGAGCCAGAGTGTATTCACATGTTCTTCCACGCTCACTGCTTCCGGCATCCCGATTTCTTCAGGAAATATAATGTTCCTTTTCTGTACGACGTAAGTCCTCTTCTTGATAGACGATAGATAGAATTTAATTTGTTATTTTATGCAATAAACGTTTTATCGCATAAAATTACAAATTAAATTCTTGTCTACTCAAATGATCTCGTACTTAATTTTGCGTGCTCAGAATTTGATCGCTGGCCACTGGCCACTGACTGACTTAAACTTAGGTACCTACACCTAAGTTTTCAAGAAGTACCGAAACCGACAGATTCATTTCATTATAAACAATACCTACCCGCTATAGTACAGTCACATCGGGGCATAGGAGAATTGTCGGCAGAAAGATTGGTACAAGGAGACAGAGAACGCTGCTACCCATTTGCTGGGCAGTTGGTACCTGCTTGCTACCAATGCGTATCTCGGTGTTCTTGACCGATTCAAACTGATCATATTCCTTGTGAGACCATTGACAAATATATTAGCACAACAGACAGAAACACAAGAAGTTTTTGATCTATTTAGTTAGTATCCTACTTCTCAGGAGCAGTAATTCTCAACGATATGTTATAAAAAATAAATTACCTTCTACTAATTTCAGATTGAAGTCGTTTCAACGGCGACAGAGCACGCTGGAAAAGGAGTTGCTCAGACTTTGCTTCAAGCAGCGATCTTCTATGCCATCGAAATGTGCTACCCAGTGGTGCAACTGATAGCCACCAACACTTTCATGTAAGACGTTCAACCTTGCACTTTTTAGTAACTTATTATTCAGGGCCTCGTATTTCTGCAAAGGTGTTTGTAAGTGTTTAGTGGTTTGTAATGATATCAGAATCATCTTTATCAGCTTCAGGTGTTGTAGTTAGGCCAGTATGTGCAACCGAGTATATTTTTCCGTTTGTGCTTATATATCTCAAACACAAGGTTCAAAAATTACTAGACTGATTTTGGAATATTGAAAATCTAAACACATTAATTTTTGAAAAAGACATTTTGAGTTTCGGCCTTATGATTTTGATTCTTGAAAACGTGAGTGTTGAAATTGTCTCATTATTTTCCAGGATAAATCCGTGCAAACGATTAGGAATGAAAAAGGAATGGACGATGCACTACCGGGAGTACGTGGACTATTGCGGCCGGCCGCTTTTCTGCCTGCGCCACCCTCACAGGACCGTCAACATCTTCGTACGCACGCCGCACTACAAAGACCTCTACACCCCAGAGTTCTACCGACTCTTCAACCATCCCAACGGGGAACTTGACTACAAACTAAAACCCTTGAAACCTCCTGTTCCCTACTGTTCAGCACTAAAGATGGCACTACCTCCGCCACACAAAGTTTGCTAACTGATCTACGAGACAATATTGTGGACCTACGTACAGCAGATGTGGATAGTTCTAGAAATATTTGTAACCGTGTTAGTAACTTACATTCAAATACAAAGCGAATGCTACATTGCAAGATATCTACGAAGTGTTCGACTATAATAGAAATGTAAGTAAGAAGACTTTAGAGTCCGAGAGACGTGAAGTCAAATAACTTTCTAGATACGGAAAACTGTGGCTTTCCTCTGATACTAAAAAGAATAGTTATTCTAATTGGAGGAGTTTACCCGAAGCAACGTATCAAGAAGACGATGGAGGATACTAAAATACGGATACGGACGGACTCTACGCTGTACGAAATGGAAGCGAATGCAAAATATAATATTTATTAAGTTATAAACTAATAAATAAATCAATCACAATAACAAAATAAAAGTACGTATTAATTCTATCATTGCTTGTCAATGCTAAGTACATACTACCTAATTCACAGAATAATGGGTTCTTAAAGTGCGAAGAATGCTTGGTGTATTTTAAACCTTAGTGCGAGTGAGAAAGCATGACTTCCCGTCGTCGCCATTTATAAACCCCTTTCTTCTGTAATATTTAGATATTATCTTAGTATTTAGATCAAATTTAGATATTATCATTCGATTCGAGGCACAGATAAAAAAAGATTAGTAGATTAGAGCCTTGGATTAGAGCTAATCGACCGTACCAAATGGCGTGTCATAGTTAAGAAAGCCGACCTCGTAAATACTGGGAAGTGGCGAGGACAAAGAAAGAAGAGAAGAACTTCTCGCATAGGTAACTTGCTTTGCAGGCATTGCAGCAGACCACTGACCCCTAAGACTGACCCGTATATTGCGTCTCGTTAGGCCTGCCAGCTGATGAGATTTCTGTGCAGCAGAGAGACCGCCTTTGGCTGAGAATCCACCAGAGCTGCCTCGCACAGCAGATTCGCAGCCTTAATCTTCTTGCAGCAGAAACAGGCTGTGCTGGTGTCTATGGTGTGTGTCCAATCCAGTCCAATCACAATGCTTGGTCGTCATACGTCACTTAGATGTCATACGTCGCTTTGTCAGTGACTTTAGCACGTCGTAGCATGGTCACGTCACCGCTCAGCCTCAAACGCCTCATCGCAATGTTTATATTTCCAGCAATTCACTAAAATTACTTGTGACCAAACAGAACAAGAATGACAATAAAGAAATCCGCTATGAAACTAATGGAGCAGTTTAGAACAGCATTCTTGCTGGGGAGCAATACATGTCCAGCGGCGCAGCCTGCGCACAAACAAGAGTTGCTACGGCCTAGTCTGAAACCGGTTCGCTATCATCATCATCGTCATCATCCTGCCCTTATCTCACTAATGAACTCAAAGTTATGTTGCAAAAGGATTTGGCTTAATTTTACGACCAGCCGCCTGCCTGGCGTCAACTCTCTTTGGGATTGTTATCATAGGTGGTACTGCCACCATTCGGTTGACCATGGTCGGCAGATATTGTAACCAAGGTCAAAAACTCTACGTCGCCTTTTACGAAACACCCTGAGTAGGATAGGGTTGGTAGAATTCTTAGCCGCTACCACTCGGTTAAGCCGGTTAGCTATACTGGTATTTATCGGTCTGATATCAGGTATGAACTGGTCATATGCATATCTGTTTTCGAGCTGGTTCTCGAGCGAAATTCACGCTGCGGCAAGTGTAGGTAGCGACCGATGACTAGAGAGCGGCTACTGGATGGCTCTCTCTCTCTTCGTATGGGACACCGAGTCGTTCAACGGATGGCAATAAAGGCCTAGTTGACATACCCTGGCATATTTGTGACATACCTATGCCTATGTCCAGCAGAGGCCTTTACTATGCTAATATGATGATGATCAGGTTCATTCATACCCAGCAGTTAGCAGGTTTTCCGTAGCACAAGATCACAGTGTCATCAGATGATAAATAAAATGCTTTGTTACAGATCTTTTATGTAAAAAAAGTTGTAATAGAACCAGCAAATGTTGGTAATGTGGAAGAAATCGAAGGATTCCTGTACGAAAACTACTTCTTGTGTCAACCTACTATTCAACGTCTCGGAATTAATAGAAATAGCCAATACTTGGCCAGTTTGGCTAAAAAGTATGCTATTTCTGGTAAGTATTAGTTCTATGACCTAAGACGTGTGGTAGCAGCTAAGAAGCCAGCCGCTGTGGCGCAGTGGTTAGTATGCCTGCCTGCCACGCAAAGATTCCGGTTTCAATTCCCGGTGGGGTCACTCACAAAGTTGATATTTATCACTTTGTGAATTTGTTCCCAGTCTGGTTAGGACATTGCAGGCTGAACCACCTGATTGTCCGCAAGTAAGATGATTTCGTGCTTCGGATGAGCACGTTAAGCCGTCGGTCCCGGTTGCTGTCTATGATGGCGGTCGTTACACAACCATGTCAGAGGCCTGCGGTTGAAAAACTCTGACACCAGGGTTCATCGGGTCGCTAAACAACTCGGTGTCCCACACGAAAAGAAGAAGAAGCAGCTAAGAATATTGCCACCCCTAGTCCACTCAGGGTGTTTCGTAAAAGCGACGTAGATCTCAGCTGAATATCTGTCTACAATAGCATTTTCAAAGAGGGTTGACGTCAGCATTGGAAGGTCATTGCCAAATCCTTTTGCTATATGATTGTGTTTACTAAAATATATGTTACGCTGACCCCAACTGATTTTGGGTTAGGGCAGGCAGATGCTGATAGTTCTATGACCTACTTTCGCGGCTACTGTTGTGATTGTGATTCAAGTCTTTAACATACATGATTTCCGTCGTCGTTCAGGTGACCGATGGCTGGCTTATGAGATAGAGCCAAGATTGAGAAAACGAAAGCTAATAGGAGCGTTAGCAGCTTACAAGAAATTCCCGTGGGAGG